TCTCAGCATGTTGCCTTCTGCAGATCCACAGACCATAGCTGGAGTTTGTAAAGCCCCAAAGCAGCAAAATGACACAGGCTAAAAGTCTAAAATGGAGCCTGTTATCCCCACGCCAGTGGGCTGCAGAGGGGAGGAGAGCCCCTCAAGGCCCCTCCACAACCCTCTAGGCAGCTCAGGGGTGGCACTGAAGGTGTCCAGAACGAGTTGTGTAGGTCAGAAGAGAGCAAAGCAGGAAGAGCAGGGTCCCAGAAGTATACATAGCATCCCAGGAAAGAACAATAACTTTGCTTCATTTAGTTTAAAACTTATCAATATTTCATTTGTGCTCTTGCTTATCTAAGGAATGACTGGACAGCTGACACTGACAGCCAGAGAGCAGCAGCGAGTTGAGCCAGTGCCCTGCAAAGAGTGAAAGGCAGACAGACAGACAACTCCCACGAAGTAGGGACAGAATCCCGATCCCGATAGCCTGCCAATCATTTTACTCACACAATAGATCCCTCACTCCCATCGTCTCAACATCAGCCATACCCCGAAGGGATTCTCATCACTGCTAGCGTCAGAAGGACAATGCTAAAACCCTACCATTGTGCTACCACTCCACACCCTGCTCAGGAAGCCTTTCTTCCCTCACTGTTCCTCAGGAGACCAGCTTTTCCCTCACTCTCCAGTGCTACAGCATCATTGTTCTCCATTCCCTTCCCATCCTCTCTGGCCAGCTGCTGCTTCTCCACTCCTGACTCCCAATGGTGCTGATGCCCTCTGACTTGCTAGGATGCCCCCATTCTCTTTGTCCAAGTGTTCATGGTGTAGGTCACATATCCTCCCTATACACAGGCTCAGTCCTCTCCTGGAGGCACATTCTAAGTTAGCCTGAGCTCTACCTGGTGAGGAACTGTGTGGTCTGATGCACTGCAGGGGCTGCTCAGCAGATGCCTCTCTTCTCAGAGCAGGAAGAAGGCAGCAAATTTCCAGGTACTTGGGGAAAAACGAACAAACAAAAAAACCTTCTGAAGTCTAGATGTGTAAGGTTGTCACTGCTTTCTCACAGGTTCCTCAAAAACTCTCACCTTCCCTTCCAAGATTCAAAACACATCTACTTTTTCTTCTTGTGACCTCACACCTCAAAATTATGTTGTGCCCATGTCCTGAAATCCATTGTGCTGTTTTAGCCACACACAAAAACATGGTAACACACAATAATTTGTTAATATTTTAAAAGCTAATTATACCATGTATGGCCAAAGCCAACACTTACAGTGCATATAAATATGGTAACTTTACATACAGAATTATATTAAAAGTATGAATTTATGCTTTCATATGAAAGCTGTCATTAATTACACGTTCATCAATTAAGGCAGCTTCATTCACATTCAGAAACTTTTCTTTGAAACCAGAAAGATTAGAAACTTGCTAAATTTTTAAATGAAAATTGAGATTCCTGTGAGAAGTTTTTGACTCTTCTCTCCCACTCAGAAACAGCTTCATAACCGAATGGGGCCTTTTCAACTCAAAACTGACAACCGCTGCCACACACTCACCCCAAGCGCTGCACTCACTCCCAGAATGCCAGTACTAGGAGTTCAATGACATCCACAGACTGTAACATGTTTAAAGAGGCAACTCCAAACCACTGAGTTCACTTTGGGATCAAAACGACCTTCCCATATGTGTATGGCAGAGTCAAAATTGAAAATCCGCCTTCCCAAATATCGTTATCAATAATTACTTACTCTTGTTCTAGGTCTTTCTCAGGCAGGCATCCATGTAGCATGTGGGTGCCATTGCACCACTGGAAAGTACCTGGGCGCTCCGTTATTTACTGTAATTCCAAGCCCTGCAGTCACTCTAGGCTCAAACAGGACTCTCTCAAGTCCTGGGTAAAAAGTAAAGGGCATAAAGAGCCTTGATACCAGTCCTGCATTTTCAGAGCATTTCAAAGACTTTCTTATGGTTGGAACTGGAGCTCGCCAGCTCCAGCCATGAACTCGCTCTCGCTGGGTAGTGCCATCACTAGATCGACCTTCATAGCCCTTCAAGAAGTCTGACACAGATCCCTTACTGAAATCATGAGTTAGACACAATGCATTTGAAACACCGAGCAATCTCACTGACACATGCCACAATGCCTGCTATGTACAGAAACTTAAAATGCTGTTCCCTGATACACACTGCATCTTCAAAGCCAGTCTGTCTCAAAGACACTGCTGGAAGGAGCAGACTCTTCTTCTCATCCACTGTCTCCAAGTCATCCTGATTCAAACAAACAAACAAGGAAGCAAGCAAACAGCAAGCTTGCCCAGAAACCGTCTCTCTTTTCCAACGGGTCGTGAAATCCTATGCATTAGTCATGTGGTTTGTGGAGAAGTTAGAAGTGGGGGTGGGTGGACTTGGAGGGAGGGACAGAAAATAAAGGGTGGGGAGAGACAGAGCGAAAGGGGTCTTTGCCTCTGATGGGTTAATGAGCATTTGGAAGTTTAATTTCTGCTGCTGCTACCAGGGAGCACTTTGAGGAGAAAGCTCAGAGCTTCCCCGGTAGGGCAGCAAGCCAAGCCGCCTTCCCCATGTCTCACAGGCTCACTTTTTTTAAATTATGGGAAACACTTTTAGACAGACACTGGCACTCATAAATTATACAGCCCATTTGCATATTCCAGTCATGAGACATTATGCAAATGTGACGTGATTTGCATAATGGATTCCTCTTGTCGCTTCACTTGCTTCATGCTTTTAAAAAACAAAATGAAATAAAACGAAAGCATAAAAAAGTGAAAGCAGCAAGTTCCAAGCATTGCCATGTCTCCTCCCATCTGCACTGTAATTTGCCCTCATTTGCAGCAGAGATTGGGGGTGAAGGAGAGAGAAATCAAAAAACAAAGCTCTCACATGGTAAATTTTGTTCTTAATTACAACAAGCCAACTTTCCCCCTGGTTGAGATTCTTCACCACTAGCAACACATCTGAGCCAATTAGGGAGACAAAAAATACGGGGATATAGGACCAATGTATAAAAGGCAGCAATATTCAAACTGCCTACCCCATCGTTTCAGTGTGCTTGGGGTGGGGAGCCCTCTCCTTCATAACTACTTAATTAAATAAAGCAAAGATGGGTTTTTTTGTTTTTGTTTATTGTAATAAGCCATTTTTTTCCTACTCAAACTTCCGCAGCGCTTTCATTTTTAAAAGGGGGCGGGTGACGGAGGGAGAGGAGGAGGAGTTGCTTTGATTACTTATAAGAAAATATAATGGCAACATATTGCAAAGGATGAGACTGTAGCTCGTCGGCTTCCATCAGCTGTACTTCAATAAGCAGACAATGTTCCCTCAGCAGTGGCTAGTTTTGCTGAGGGCTTTTCTCTGCCCCCCTGCACCAGTGTGAAAGGCAGAATTGTGCCAAGCGGCTGGCGTCTGTACCCTGTGGGAAAAGTTAACTGTAATTCTTCAGCTTTTAAAATCAATTAACCCGTGTGTTAATTAACGTCAAGTCGATGGGGGAGGAGGAGGAGGGAGGGAGGGAGGGAGGAAAGAAGCTGCAAGGGCGGATGGCAGAAGAGTTGGCACAGTGCCATCCATTCAGTGGCAACGCCACAGTTTCGTGTGATAACAGCAGCGGGTATATGTTACAGGGGCCCTGTATGCGGGCCAGACAGTGCGGTAAAGCTAAGGGAGATTATCCAGACCCCCAGGAGCAAACAGCAAGCAGCAACCGAAGGCGCAAGTGCCAGGATTACAGACTAGGTTCTTCCACTGCAAGCCCGTCCTCGGACACAGGGACTCAGCTACTGGGGATCTGGGGGACTCCCCCACCGACGAGGCACAAATCTGACTTTCAGCACTTTTCCCCCCTGTACACGTCATTCTGCCGCAGTGGAGCCAGCATAAGGGATGCTTTCACACCCTGTGAAACAAAGGCCGTCGTCTCCGCCATGACACCGCTGCGTTCCAAGCCGAGGCCGGCATCCTGGAGTCTTTATTTTTAAAGGGAACAACAAAAACAGCAAAAGAGAAACCACAACAACAAACCCCTTGTGCCCATCCTCCGTGCCAGGGGCAATCTGGGCATCTGTCGCAGCAGAAGGCGCTTGTGCGGGGTCTTTTTTTTTTTTTGCAAGCTGTTGGCTTGTTTGACATTTGGGTTCATTTATAAATTAACTAAAGAAAAAACCAAAACAATAAAACAAAAAACCCCAGCCCAGTCAACAACAAACAAAAGGGAGTTGCCGACATCGAGAGAGAAATGCCACAGGAAGCTGCAAGAATGCAGGCTACAGCCGATGCCACTTGCCATTCGGAGAACCTCAGGGAAAGGTGCCAATTCTGCAGCTCGGGAGAGACAGAGAAGGGAGCATAAAGGTCTCCAAACAGAATTCCGAAAGAAGCCTGGAATACAGCTCTTATAGGGCAGGATCATAGATGCACACAGCCTCTGCTGGGAGGAGGGGGAATGTTTATATAGATATAGCTAGAGATGTTTATCTGTGTATATATATATATATATATATATATATATATATATATATATATATACACACACACACACACACACACACACACACAC